TGGTACACCCGCAAATTTAAAAATAAATTTCCACATTTCTGTTATTAATGGCAATTCATAAAACAACAGTCATGATGGCTATTGCTACTAATAACAGAAATGTTGAAGCTTATTTTTAAATTTGCGGGTATACCAAAAGCTTTATAAAACATATAAAAACAGTTTTGCATGTATCTTTTAATTCTGAACAACTTTAAACTCTACAGTTTTTTCTGTAAAATGTACAGGAGAGCAGGATTTTGCATAAAACTAATTTCCCCTGTTAAATCATGCTTTGACGCAAACCGTTACGTAAAAGTATTCAGACTACCATTAACAATTTAAACCTGAAAATCTGCAAACCAACATAGGTTTTCATGATCTATTGAATGAAAATATTATCATGACCGTTTCATTTCCGGTTTTACCGGATGTAGATAGCAACTTTCTTATTTTAAATAGAACGCCCTATATTTGATTGCATTTTCGTAATCTATATAAAAATCTGCGTCGTTTGATACCACATTCCCCTACATCCAGCATGAAAGGTTTTCAAGTTAATCAAGATTTTTCAAAATTGTTGGCGTTTGACTGCTTTTCTTTAGGGTCCTATACCGTTGACTTGAATTTCAAAAAATTAACGATACTAACTTGATGCTACATGAGAATGATTCAAATTTCGATCACCCTTAAAAAAAGTTGATTGTTTAACATGAAGCCTGCTTTATTTTTTTGCACTTTCAAATGTACAAAAAAAAACCTACATCGAGCAATTATTAAATTCCCTATACATATCTGTTATGCTTTTCGTATTATTTAAGATTCTATAAAATTGTGACTGTTCTGCATAATTTTCTTAGTAGATCTTGAAATGAATGCGGCTCTCGAGAAAGAGTTCACTTTTTTGTAATCTGGTTATTGTGGTTTTTGTATATTTCCTTTTTACTTTTCCTCCTTGAATATCTCTCAGTGAATAGTTTGCACTACAAGCTCGGCCACAGATGCTCGAAAACGCTTATATTCTTCGTAGGTTCATTGAATAGCAAATATAGCAAACGAGCTCCTGGGTATGGCTATAGCATGTGCAAAACCAACTTTTAAATCTGATGTTAGTTTTGCTTTTATTTAAAGTGTATGTGTATGAAATTTAATTTAATTGCTTCCATAAATAGGAAAGTTGGCACTGCACATCATACACAAAACCAAATTTAGAAAATGGCATTATATTTGCTTTTAATCCAAGTGGCTATGTATCAAATTTCATTTAAATGCCTCGCCATAAATAAGAAAGTTGGCACTGCGCATGCGCAAAACCACATTTAGAAACTGGCGTTAAATTTGCTTTTATTCCAAGTGGTATGTATCAAATTTCATTTAAATGCCTCCATAAATAAGAAAGTTTGCAATTCGGTCTGTAAATGGTCGAGATGTGCAAAGGGCAATGTGAATGCTGGTCGATTAGGCTCAACTTTTGAAATTGTGTTCTATATGGCTAAAGCTATGCGCATTTTGAATTTCATGCTATTCGGTTCATAACTAACGGAGATGTCAAAAGGGCCTACTTTATTTTTTTGTCTACATTGCCAATTCGCGAACTCCGATCTAAAAATTTGATAAAGAATCCACCTGCAAAATTTCATCGTAATCGGTCCATTCGTTTATGAGTTATCGTGCTAATAGACGGATGGACGGACAGACACTGCAAAATTATAAACTCGCTAGGAGCTCGTTAATATAATCAAATGGTAAAGTTGTCCCCAATGAGTGATTTTTTCTTCAGTAGGATAGAGAATGCAACTTAGGTAAATGTAAATCTGGATATCTTTAATTCATTTAGGAGATGCAAAAGTGTCTGCATTCAACAATCAACTCCACCCCGAAATAATCTAGCAATTTTTGAACAATAATGTTCTTCTTGACAGAGTACTTCCTCAAATGTATACCGTGTATAGTTCAACCCTATTCGATGTTTGAGCAGTGTTTTCTGTTATTTGTTGCATGTGACTTCATTAAATGCAATATCCTCTTTTAACTTATATATTATTTCAAGATGGCACCCAAACTATTTTTTACACGTAGGTACGTCAAATGGAACATTGCGCTGATCATATTCAAACGGCGAATTATTGTTTCGTTGCTAGGAGCAGAGAAGCGGAAAAGAGGCAGAGAAATTTTACTTCTCTGCTTCTTTTGAATTCTATATCTGTACTGACTACCCGTTTAAATACAAGCAATTCCAGTATACTAATAACAAAATTAGTATTTACCACGGACGAGTGAGATCCGCTGATACGTCGGAATTTTCGTACGAGGCACCTACGTAATACTTCCGACTTGTCAGCGAAAACTCACTTCTCGTCCTTGGTAAGCAAAATACTATTATTTTATAGCATTAATTAATAGGTTTAAATGAGTCACTCTTTAACCGTGGGGTTGATAACGTGATCGCTTTAACCGTAAGGACACAGAATAAAGTGTACGCCAGTTTTTATTCTGTGGTAAGGATACATAAAGTGAAACAGATGATTGTGCATTCTAAAAACATCTGGCATTCTTATTTCAAATGGGTCGCCAAGCACGATATAAACTGACGTTCAGAACACAACAATCCTGTTTCTATAGAAACGACAACGACGCCAGATTCTAAACGTGCTATTTTTGACCTTTAAATTAAATTCAGAATCGTCGGAAGTTATACAATGATTTGTATGGTTTCTGCTATAAAATAAAATTGTCTATTATATACGACGATAAAGGGAAACTAACCATCTCATTGGTTAAAATACCCTTTTATTGTCTTATATAAGTAATAAATAACTATTATTTCATAATTCATTGTTGGCTAATAACATATACTCATATACAATGCTAATAATACATCAAAGTAGAAAGTAGTGGACAACTTTAACACTCTATGATAATTTCTGAAGTAATAAAAATACTTTTTACAATTTCCTCTTGGCAAATAACAGCTGATTTGACAGTGATCGAGAAGTATTCGTTTGAAATTTTTTTGCAAACAAAGTTAAGTTCTATATATACTTACCCATTCTAGGTCAGTTTGCAGTGTAACGTAAAATGGGTACGAGTAAAATTTCTTCTTGGAGTGTTTTCCCGATAGAATTGAAAAAATATTGACACATGGTGCCTCGTACTCATGAAGTTCTAAGTTCTCATTTGTAGGTACATACATACAGAGTGGCCCAACGAGAAGTATACAGAGGGCTTTTACGGTATTAAATTTAGGAATTTCGAAAAATCCTCGAATATGTCAATTTTGTATTCGAGGGGGACAACTTTTAGAATACAAATCACGAACCCAAGTCTTGACCCCTCTACGTAGGGAGCTTAACCCCTAAAATTTTAAATGGAATCCTATGGCAAATGGCACATTATTTGAAAGCCAATTTAATCGTGATTACTAATCTGCTTTGCTTTTTAAATTCTTTTGATTCGTTTCGGAGATATTCGCATTTGAAGTGGTTTTTTTCCCCTGATTTATGTCCTTTAGATTACTTCTTGTGGGGATATTTAAAGAATAAAGTTTATGCTACTCCGCCCGAAACATTACAAGGGTTGCGAGCACGTATAACCATAGTGTAAGAATAGAATACACTATGGTATAACTCAACAATTTCGAGCGATTACCCCTGAAATTTTGCAACATGTACGGCAGCGTTTTGAAGGAAATCTTTATTATTGCATGGAAGCAGGCGGAAGGCAATTCGAGCATTTATTGAAATAAATGTTGTGTGTTTAAAGTTATTTGCTATTTTTTGCACAATTTAAACCAATTTAAAAATTTTAATACAAGGTGACTTAGATCGCATTTGTTTTGGTTTTTTTTTAGAAAAAACCATTTCAAATGCGAATATCTCCGAAACGAATCAATAGAATTTAAAAAGCAAAGCAGATTAGTAATCACGATTAAATTGGCTTTCAAATAGTGTGCCATTTGCCATAGGATTCCATTTAAAATTTTAGGGGTTAAGCTCCCTACGTAGAGGGGTGAAGACTTGGGTTCGTGATTTGTATTCCAAAAGTTGTCCCCCTCGAATACAAAATTGACGTGTTCGAGGATTTTTTGAAATTTCTAAATTTAATACCCTAAAAGCCCTCTGTATGCTTCTCGTTGGGCCACTCTGTATACGTAGATACATGTTGGACTGTATTTTATGCAAGTAAAGCTGATTTGCGTTAAGTTCCATACATTTTGCATCTCTGGCCTCTTGCATGAGCCCCAATTAAATTTCTCCGACAGTTACTTTCAACGGGAGCAAATGTTTTCACAAAGAATAAGATTATCTATAATAAGATCGCTTTAAAAGACGAGGAAAAACCAGCCCTAAATAATACCACACAACATTTGTCTGTGATAACACAGAGCTAGTTGTTAGCCGCGAGATTCACATCTTCTCGCAATAATTAATATGTATGTAGGTACAATAAATGCAGTGCACTTTCGCTAAAAGAATAATTTTAAAAACAGTAAAATATTTAGTCACTTCATAAGGATATTAGTTTGTGGGTTCATTACACGTAAATGCAGTGCAGCACTGTACTACTGAGTTTTACCTCTTGCATGTACATGCATGACGCTCATTCATCTTTGAATCATTCTTGAAAAGTCTATATAAGGTAAATATACCTTCCATTCTAATAATAAAGCAACTGGTGCGAACAATATGAGCCAAACTGAAATTATCTACGTCATTTTGTGTTATTCACAGCTGAAAATGGTATTTTGATACTTTATAGAATCTTCATTTCGCATATTTGGCGAAATTCCAAGAAATGTTCCAATATATACATTATTTTGTTCATATCGACCGTTTTAACATTTTTAAATATAAACTATAAACTGTGTTGTTTGATAACAGTGCAATTCGAGTAAGTACCTACGTAAACGCTGCATCAGCGTGCTTAAAAAATAAGTCACCCACACCTGTTGTATCGACACATACCCAAAATAGTACGAGAATGAAAAACTCTTAAATGTCTACGTAGCGTTCAGATGGCTTTATAAACAAAAAGCGAGCCGAACATTTCCAAGATTTGACCCCCTACCGCCCCTTTTTCCAATCCGTGGACGCTGCCGACGTTAAGCGTCGAGAGTAATTCAGTGTCGAACGCCAGTCGCCGCAAACGATTCGCTTATCACGTCACGTACACACCACTAGGTCAGTAAAATAAATTAGGCACTGTTAGTGTTAGTTCTTTTTCTATTGGAACTGTAAGTAGAGCAGCTTTATAATTTACCTACCCTAAAGAAAAACGCAATTTCCAAAGTAATTTCGCGCGTCTCTCGATTCCGTCCGTTTTGCGCTTCCGTTATAAAACGCGAGTGGATTTTTCGATGTAAATATATCCAGAGATCTAAAATAGGAGCGCCATTTCGGTTCGTGCCCTACATTGGTCAGGCAATAAGCGTGCTTACGCAGAAAAAATTGCAAATCAAAAATAACTAACTCTGTAATGCTCATTGCAAAACTGCAGTTTTCATAATCGTAGGTCCAGCATGTGGACGTATCGAAGAGTAAATGACGTTTGTACCAAATTACAAATGATATGTTTCATGGTGAGGTAACAGTGAGACGCTGGGATACTAAAAATAGAAAACACCAAGACGGGTGCGGTCCATATTATCCTCGTGTAGGTCTCGATGCAGGGACGAATAATTTTAGAGACTATCAAGTGGGTGTTTTGCCATACATTACCGATTGCTCACTTCGGCTCTTTTTTTTCTTTAATTGGAAATGTATTCTCAAATTTAGATTCTTCTGACAAATTCGATTGAAATTAATTTGCCATTTGATATCGAACCAACACTTGACGTAACGTTGTAAAAATAGCCTCCGTAATTTCTGCACTTGAAAAGTGAAACTTTTCTGGCCTGGCCTCGATCTGAACGGAAATAATTGTTGACGTCAATTTCAGCGATCGATCGAGGAAAACGTCAAAATGTTTAAAAACCACCTAGAAATGATAAGCCGGAACGAAACGGCTTCGAAGAAAGCAAAATTCTGGCAAGCGTTTGTCGGTTCCCTAAAAGGTAAAAGTAGAAAAGTGGCTTGCCTCTGCTAATCTTAACAGTTTAGGATCCGAAGATTTGCGAGCTCCAGAAGGTTCCCACAGAAGCCCCCGTGGAATTTTCCGGCCGATAAGTGAGTTCCCTCAACTATCATCGACATGGGACACTTGGCCATACGGCAAATCGATCTACGATGATCCCATTCATGCCGGTGAACGCGTTAACGTACCCGGATATCGTTACGATCCACTTCACCGCGACATATATGGATATTCACCGCGCCGAATTTTCCCACATAACTATGGATATTCGCCGTTAGCAAGATACCGGCCTGGTAAGAACTAACAACAAAGCTTTGAAAACATCCTATCATGCCTACTTAGTTACTGTTTAGGGCACCGCAGAGGCGCCTCTCTGTAGGCATCTTCTGTAAAAATTAAACATCTACCAGAATCTAGAACATCAGATTGTTTATCACGTTAATTACCGCGACATTAGTGATACCGTTAAGTTTTTTAGAGAAATTTATTAGAGTTATCCTTTGATTAACGTGATAAACTTTCCCAAACATCCATTGCGAAATTTTTGGATTTTTATCGTAATGGAATAAACACGTGTTCTGTGTACAAAATTTTACATTAATGATCACTAGTGTGTTTTATTACTCAGCTGCGCGACCATAACTCGATTTAGTACACGTGTTATAATAATACCGTAATTGTATATTAATTTATAAAAAAAGCTTAAGCAAGCTGTTTATTTACTTGGTGGTTTGTAAATAATGCCAATATGTTTGTAATAGAAATAAAAAATTCGATAAAAAATTAAAAAAAATTGCCCCTGCAAAAGCTTGAGCCGTATCGATTTTCTGAAGTAAAAAGTGGCGCAATCCGAATTTCTTCATACAATCACCACTAAAGCATGATGCTTTGTTGCTGCGTCGTGCCGTTATGCTTACTTAACATTTGCTCATCATCCTATCGCTCTAGCATTTGCCCGGGCGATGTAACTCTTTTATTTACTTACCCGACAACCGTTTCCCCCATCCCTTTAATGAAATAAACTTTTAATTGCAGATGTAAATAGTTTTTACATTTTTGTGAAATAGATGTGCAACTTTTAATATTTTTGGCACAGTACCAGGTGAGATATTTTTGGTACCCACCACCCAATAATAAAACTGAGCGAAAAGTTTAACGCAACCACACGCATACTACTGCTACATTGTCATACTTACTCGTAACGTTAATGTGTTAACATCCACCAGTGATCGTAAATAAACTTTGTGCTATCTACGCAGTGTTCCACATACCCAAAGTCAGGCCTTTTGACGCTGAACAAGCTTGGGACGATCATCTTGCACGTAAAGCAGAAAGAGAACGTATGTATCCCAGCGCCTTCGACAATTTCCACACGACTTATCCATTCAGTCGTTACCCTCTTTACTTGGTCCATGCAAAAAGGCCACGCTTAACTGATGAGGAAAAAAGAAATCCCCATGATTCTTGGTTGGATCACTTAGATCGTATGAACGATCTCGACAAATTGTCCAGCATGTTCCCGAAATGGTGGAGTCCGACACCCATTAAGGTAAAAACTTGACAATTTTTTCAACGCCGGGAATAACGACCTTGCTCTTACAGATTGGAGAGTTTGCACCAAGGCCAAACGAAGTCGCTTTTAATTATTTCGGTCAACCAATTTACACGCGTGGTGGTCTGCGACCAAGTAAGCTTCTATGGTCAGATTTATTAAATCCATCCCCTAGTTTGCCTCTGTCTGCCATCACTCGCGATCCCTGGTGGTGGAATCATCCCGCTTTAAAACCCTATGAACCTTTAAGCAAGTGGGGAAAATCCCCATATTTCCTCAGAGATTCGTACCTATCTCCCGTCAAGAGGACTTACCTATGGGACAAACACCCCGTCAGACCTTTCGGTAAGTCTAGTCCATATCATTAACAGTTCCGTCAAACTATGGGCTTTTTTGGAAAGGACAGCTGGATAATTTGATCACAAACAATGAGTCGTTATCCCAAAACTCAATTCCTTACCCCCATATCCTTCATTCTTTAACCCTAACAGTCTGCAATTATTTATTTACCTGGCTCGTAGTGATTTTTGTATATAGAGTTATGTAGTGGTAGTTTCTGCTGTCCTCGATTTTTCGATTTTTTTGTATACCTATAGCCCCTTGTATCATTCACTCAAGATCATGACAGTGTTGGTTTGTTATGTAAACTGAACTTTCCATTTCCCTCCACTCTAATCAAATTCTCTTTTTATTTCAGCTGCTATTTAATCAACCCCATCGTTTGCAGCTCGACTGTTGAAAGAAAAATTTAAAAATTTAAATTAATTATTGGCTATCTGAATTAAATAATGAATGTATTTTTAAAAAATAAAAACGACACTCCCAGGTACTTAAAAAACGACAATAAAATCGATTCTAATATACACGACGAAGCAACTTCACTGCCTTTCTTTTTAATTCCGTTTTAGCGAGTTTAATATATAGGTAGGTAAATAAGATAAGCGCCATCACACTATTAATGCTAGTGCATAACCTACAACACCGCTAAACACCTACAGACATACCTCATATTTACACTTAAAGTAGGTACTGTGCCTTTAGAAGTTGTAAATGGGAATCTTATTTTTTTTTTAATTCCCGTTCCCGTAAGTAAATAAATATTTACTGTGAATGTTTGGTAAACAATAAAGTGTTATAAGTAACATGTTTCTTAATTTTGAAAAATAAGTTTATTTTGTAGTTACCTACCTATGTGTTTATTTTAATCTGTATTTTGAAATCAACCTGGATATCAATCGTTTCCTCGCAAATAGTCGAACCCCAATTTGTTATAACAAGAAACCTAGCCTAAAGAGGGGAAATACATAATATGGCAAAAATCATACGTACCTACCACATATATTGCTTGCGATTAAAAGCAAGTCAAGAATGGCAAAGTTACGGCATCACATCTTTCCCGAAACTGATCAGTATTGTTTGCTAGCTCCAGTTTACGCAAGCTTACTTATCAATTGCACCCTTTAATAACGGTGTCTTAGTTAATGTGATACTCGGGGAAAGAAGACTCACAGGCAGATGCGCATGATGGGTTTTCATCTGAGCTAGAGAAAGGAGAATGCCAATTTCTTTGTTGAGAAGGGAGAAGAATAAGTAGCTTTCAATGTGTACGTGTCAGGTACAGGCGACTTGCGTTAAGCTAAAGCACAAGTACGCAGCCATCTCCTAGCAACTTAGCGTCGTCACTGACGCTGACCTGAAGAAGTCAATGAGCGTCGTCACTGACCTGAAACCACCATTGGCTAGAATTTCTACCAGTAACGCTGCCATTTGGTATATTTGAATTTGCCGCTCAACGCGCGTTCGTCTTGTCAGCTGGATCGGCTGTAATTGTTTTCCTTTAATTTTTCTTTGTGATTGTAACATTAAATGTAAAATGGGGGTACAATGTGGTTTTGTTGTCTCTGTTTGCTATCGGTTTATTAGGTGTTTGTTATTATAAATTCAAATTTGCAGGGACTTTTGTTTAAGTTTTTTTAAATGAGATCAAGTCAGTTATGGTTGTACTGAAGGGCATTTGTTAAGGGATGGCACATACGGAATACTTTCTCATGCACGTTACAATTTCGTTGATCACGTTGAGAGGTGCCACCCTGTATATACAACTTACGACACTTACATACACTTTTGAGAGTTGACAACCATGCAGTTTCTAGGTGGGAAAAAGCTGCCTGCCCCATCTAAAAAAAGCGCGGACGGGGGTTACGTTGGGCATCTTGTCTTGAACGGCGGTCGTGAACCTAATTCCATGATTGTCTTCGACATCCAACTGTGGGCTCGAAACCCCGAAACCAGGGGCTGGTTACCTATCTTGCCGGAGCGGGATTACGCTAATCAAAGCTCTTCAGTTTAGAATCTATGTGTGATAACTGAGTTACGATTCGTAATTTCCACATATCTTATTATTAGTTAAATTTGCCTACAAGGCCATGTAATTTTCCATCTTGCTTTTAAGAAAAGGACTTTATTGCACCAAAGATGAGTCACATCCTGTGTATTTCACCCTTTTTTAGAATGTTGGTACCTGCTTACCTGACCCATAATTCCCTTGTTTTTAACCTATATGTTACCTCTTGAAGTCTACCTGCTACTTTTTGTGATGTTATAATTTTATGTTATGCATTCACATCATTACAAACAATTAATTTTACAACACAATTTGATATTAATTTGGCGGCTGGGTTTTTTTTATTGGTAAGTTCTTTTTTTCCCAGCCTATTTCTATTTTGATTCGGTGAACTTCCATTTTCAAAGTTTATTTTTGCAATGTAATTTATTTCCAGTAAAATTTCTGAGCTTTTACAGTCAATAATAATTGCGATAATTATTAAACAAACTTTTCACAATTTGAGTGTTTTATTTTAGCGTTCCTTCCCTACTGTGCTGCAGGTCATAGCGTTGTTTACAACTAGCGTAAGGGGGCCCTGCCTTAGATGTTTGATAACGTGCCACTTTTCAAATTTAAGCGGGATCTTGTTTAGTTTTGGAGGGAATAGTCATTCGGGTGGCCATTTTTAAACCTTGTCGGTTGACTTTATTTCCGTGTTCTTCTACTGTGAAGTTAGTGTAGAACCAGGGGGTTAAGTACACTACAACGTAAATTGAATTAGGTACACGTTTATAAACATTACAAATTATGGCGCAAACGAGATATTAGTACCTACAGAGGGTGTTTAGATAGTTTAGTCCTTTAGGGTATCGCGTTCATGTGTTTCATTTAAGATTAATATACAGGGCGTTGATACAATTTAGGATATCTTGTAAGATTATTTGTATACTTACGTATCTATAAAATGGAATTTTCCACATTGTATCTGGGCAAAATGGCGGGTGCCTGAGCTTTAGCCACACATACAAAACCATAAACCACAACAATGTATGTATATCCTTCGCCCGCTTCGATTATATAAGTACTAATCAAAGATCGCCCGTAAGACCGTGGTGTAACAGTCAGGTTACTTTACATAACATAACAGCCTTATGCCCGTTTGCACCGACAAATTTAAGCGGAGCTTAGCTTAAGGGTAGCTTAAAATCCATGGCAACCATTGTCTCAATAATCGTTGCCATAGATTTTAAGGCTAAGCTCCATTTAAATTTGCCGGTGCAAACGGCCATTAGTAACTTTTATTCCGTGTAAGATGGTGACACAATCAGCCCTGTGATGTTTCAGAAACGTCAACGTTCAGGTTAGCTGCCAAAAAACGTTATTTTGCGTTATAACGCAAAATTACATTTTTGACAGATAACTTGCACGTACAGTTTAACGTTAGTGATATATCACAAGGCTAATGGCCGTTTGCACCGACAAATTCAAACGAAACTTAGCTTAAGCGTAGCTTAAAATCCATGGCAACCATATTATCTCAATAATCGTTGCCATGGATTTAAAGCTACGCTTAAGCTAAGCTCCACTTAAATGTCGGTGCAAACGGACATAAATATTTTAAATATTATTGTAAAGTCATGATTACGAGGGAAATATCATATCTTCCTAAAAAATAAGCGATACGGTCGGATCAACGGGGAGTTTCTATAGTCACGCACGTCTCTAGGGTCACCAAGGTGATGGCTGTGTTATACGGGCTCCCGGATGGCACAGCCACCATCTTGAAGGACATCCAGAGGCAAAATCCTGGTTTCAGGACGATCTTAGAGGGCGTTCTTCCGCATGGAGAAGCCTGGTAGAGTCCTCCTCGCATTTGATGTCGGCATCATATCAGGCACTCTAGCGGCAAAACTTTCATACACACGAGGGGGGGGGGGGGGCGATCACGCGTCATTTTTGTTACGAAAGCGAAAATTCCGGATTTTCCGGTTGCGTGGGACGACCACCTTGGGGAGTACTTATTTTCAAACAACTGATTTGAATGTTTTAAAAATCAGGGAGCAGCCCCTACCTTCGTCACAGCGTGGGTTATTGATTTGACGTTGGGCTCCTTTTCAATAGCTCACATTAGCATACTGTCGGAAAGCAGGCAGGTGGAAGGGGCAGCCGCATTAGTAAACGATGACATAACAGCGTCATTCGAGGACAGCTGTAAACTGCGCACCTTTCGATAAACGAAGAGAACACCTTGGTGGAAGTCAGGCTTTACAAAGGTGCGTAAGGAGGTTCGCTGGAGGCCCATGCGAACTAAGCTGCCTGCGGACTGGGAAGATATTAAGATCGCTTAGGGCAGGTATAAGGGGCATATTCAAATGTCTAAGAGAAGATCATGGAGGGAGGGAGATATTGAGGGTGCGTTTAACACCACTCATCGGTTACTAGAGGATGTCCGCAGGGTGGGGTGTTGTCACCACTGTTGTGAAGCCTGGTACTATAGACGGGCTCCTCCGCACTATGACCGAGGAAGGAGCGTATACACAGATAACTGAAAAGTGTCCGAACACAACAAAAGAGCTCTTGAACTGGTGGATAGGTGGTGCAGTAGCCATGACCTTTCCGTTAACCTGGAAAAGACCGAGGTTGTTCCATTTACGAATAGGAGAGCGGACCTTGATGAGCTCACTCTTCGAAGATGTCAACTGGGTTTGACGAGGTCAGTGAAATATTTGAGTCATCATACACTCCCGCCTCACGCTCACCTGGAAAGGTCCCATTGGGCGAATAAGCAAAAAGGTCACTGCATAGTCCATGGGTATATAGAACAGCTTTTGGGACTTGAACCCTCGACTGGAATATTGGCTTTACACTGTAGTGATATGGTCAATGTATGGAAACCTACGGGATGCGGCTAGGAATGGTTCAGAGACTCACCTGCCTGGAAGTCACTGGAGCTATGAAAACCAAGCCAACTTTTAATTCTTCTACACTTACCTGTGGAGGCAGAAGCTCGGAAGGCTTCCATACAGTTAAACGATTGGGACGAGTGGATCGAGGCAGCCTTGGGAATGGGCGGATATGGGAAGAAACCCTCAGATCTGATGCCCTCCTCGCAAGAATGGATGTGATCCGGACTGGCTTACTAAGACCAAAGAGTTATATAAAGTCATCCTCCAGGACAGAGAGCAGTTTCTGAACTCGGATTGCCCGTACCTCAAACATGATGGATTTGTGTTGTTTACAGATGGATCCCTAACAGAAAGAGAAACGGGCAAGGGTTTATATGGTGATTGGCTTCCTTGACCAGTATAAGTGTTTCAGACAGAAACCATGACTTGTGCACAGGAGAACCTCCGTAGAGGTTACCATAATAAGCATATACAGCGCGTTGCATCGACAGGCGGGACATAGCAAATCCCATGTAAATTTAAAGGAGGCTAGTTATTGGCTTCCCTAATTATTTTAATGGAAAAAGTATTTAGGTTATTTGAAGAGCATTAAAATCCGCATCTAAACTTTCGATAATTTTTTATTAACCCCTTAACGAGATATTGCCAAAAATATTTTGTAATTTCTGCGTACTTACAGGGAACAATTAAGGTAAAGGTTGACTGTCAAATGAAGTTTGTTGAAACTTAATGCTTTATTTCTATTATTAGAGATGAATTACACTACTGAAGAGAAGGTATTGATGATTAAATGGTATTATCAAATAGTTATCAACAAGTATCAGACATGTTTTCTGCTCAGTATCTGAACAGGCCGATACCCACAAAATCAACAGTTGATAGAATGGGAGTTTACAGTATAGTTGAATTCCGTAGTTCTAATAAAAAATAATGAACATGTGCGGTTTATTCAAAACGATATGATTGTGACGGGGCTCTGTGTCATAATAAGCCTGACCAATCAGCTCCTAACACCATTCAGATAATTCAGATAATTGGCAGAATAGCAGGAGAATGTCATTTGTAACTTGCGTCACCTGTCACAGGTACTTGTCACTTGTCGTTCACTTTCGCGTTAAGATGCCTCTAAAAACGTCAAATCCGACAAACGTCAGACCCTCGCACAAGGTTGCCGGCTCACTTCTGGGCGATTGGTTGTAGCATGTTGTAGGTTTGGGACGTATTTACAGTGAAGCATTTCAAATTCGGACTACAAACACAGCTTTTCAATAATTTATTTTGGGTTTATTTTACTAGCAAATTAAAAATTGAGGACACATATTTTTAATGTACTTTGTAGATCAGAAATAAAAAATGAAGGTGGGATGCCCCCATCAAAAGAATGCGGATTTTAATGCTCTTCAAATAACCTAAATACTTTTTCCTTTAAAATAATTAGGGAAGCCCAATAATTAACCTCCTTTAAATTTACATGGGATTTCCTATGTCCCATTGTCCCGCCTGTCGATGCAACACGCTGTATACACATACAGTGACAGTCAAACGGTGCTGAGGGCTGTTACCAGACAAGCTCCGATCGGCAACGGTGCTTTATTGCAGGCGAACTCTAGATAGATTAGGTAAGTCTATTAGGGTAAGCTGGCTCGTGAAGGCAGTGGTGGGGTCTTCGTCAGGCCCAAGCCTGCCCTTGGAATTGCTCCCTCTGTTGTCAAGGCCAGGATTAAAAACAGGGTGATAAGTCAGTAAAACAAACAATTAAAAATCACATTGGATAACTTAACCTGTTTGTTTCACGAGCGTTTTTGGCAATAAACTGTTTAACAGCAAACTATGTCTTTAATATTTAAGAGATTACAAAAAGGAATTTTCACATTAATGTTTAAATACTTAACAAAATTGTGTATCTATAGAAAAAGTTATATTTAATAATCAATGTACCAAAAGTTTTTTGGCCGTCGGAGGCACTGGTCCACACATTTTGCAATCCTCAACAGACGATCCCGAGTAGGAACTATCAGAATCGGAACTACTCGAATCCGAATCGGAACCAGAACCGTCGGACTGGCTGTCTTCAGTATCATGGTAAATGCTCATAGCCTTTCTTCCCACAGTATTTAATGGTAATTTACTCAACTCAAATGGAGTGTATCGCTGTTAAAAACATGCAATCAACTTGTGTATTAAAAAAATGTATGCAGTTATCACCTTGTAGTAGTCACTGTATTGACCAGGAACCAACGCAAGAGGGTATGGACCCGGTGGGGGTTTATTAATTTGTTTTACTTTGCCTTTAGGATAATGTACTGTAAATGTTTGAAGATCTAAGCATGCGCGCCTTTGTTCTTTGCGAGTCTACAAGGTGAGTGGTCAGCTGAAAGTAATATTATTCATAGTATACCTTATTAAAGTTAGCATTCCACTGAAAAGCAGATTGAACTGCTTGCTCGACAATATCAATCTTATTTTTTTCCTGACTGGCCGCCAAACTTAGCGCTTTCTGTTTGTTAGAGACATCTTTTGCTTGTCGGTCGCGTTGATGTTTGCAGTACTCCTCATATTTGTGTTGAAAGTCAGTGTACATAATGTCAAGTATATCCTCTCTTTTTACAGCAGTCAATCCCATATCACACATTGCCTCGGACGCTAAACAACTTTCGCGTATAAAATCGCGCTCTTGCATATCAACAGGGCGCCTATGAATTCCTAAAAATTGTGTGAGATCATTTAATCACTATTTCTCAAAGTTACCAGGATATTTTCGTTTAAATGATTTGATTCCGAGAAACTGAGCGACTTGCTCCTGTAACATATAGGGACCACCACCTCCCCAAGAATATTCGGCCAATTTATCGGCGGAAATCACTTCGCCTTCCGGCTCTTGATGCACCTCCAATCGCGTCCCCTTACGAGCTTTTTGAGGTTTTTCACCACTTTCCGTTGTGGTATTGCTTTGTATGGAGCTTTGCGACTCCTCAATAACCTCCGAGGTCGATGTCAAAACCTACAAACACACTTAACCTCATAATAACATTCAAACTGGACCACGCATACCTGCTTGGCGGGCGTTTGTGCACGGCTACTATTATCAGCGCTCATACGCGTTTCTTCTTCATATATAACAACATCTCTATTTCCAGATTCATTTGGCAAAGGAACGGGTTTAAAGTCGCTATCAAAATCCGGTATTATAGATTCTTTGAGAAGACTTCTTCTAGTGTACGGCCTGCGTTCCTAAACGTATAAATTCGTATTAGTAATTTACACATTTTAATTAAGGTAATACAAAACGCTCGCTAAATTTCTATAAATAAACCAAACTATTTTGATACTACTCCACAAAGCTATTAATGTAACAAAAATTATGCATTAACGTTGTAGATTAATATACTTCAATTTCGATTTATTTACAAATAAACACCACTCTAATCTCTGTGTTTACGTCCAACCAAAAATAGGAACTTTAGTACCCAAGTTATTTATAACAATTTCGCTTATTAGCTTACATGGTCGCGAGAATCCTAACAGGTGAGTGTTATGCGATCGGTTGTGTTGAAAAATCCACATCGAAATAGTCGTTCAACATATTAAGGGAGAAAATTCTATATAAATATTGTCTCAATTTGATTATTACCTGTATACAAAATAGATACCCAAATGTCATTGGAGATAATGCAATGGGCAGGAAGTAGCAAGGTACAACATGGTTTAAATTTATTACGTTTCCAACTCCACGCTGGGGGAGGGGGGGGGGTTGTTAGGTATCGTCATTCATAAAGCCCATTTAGTAAGATCACAGATGCAACTTCATGATGATGCTGGAGCCCTGCCTTAATTTTAAAGATAAAACGGGCCTAGTACCCTCTCACAAAACAGGAATCAATGCAGTAGGTGGACCGTGTACGCTCCCAAAAAAAGGCAAAACCAAGTCATTATCTGAAAAATTGATGGCGACTGTGAGGGTGTAAAACATTACAGAAAAAACCACGATTAATGATGAAAGTTATTGAAGCACAATTGAACGCCACACAAAAACTGCACTCTGCCCAACAATTGAAGGGGCCACAAGGCTCAACATGTTGAAGTCATTTAGACTTAGAGAATAACCCCTACATCCCAGATTTAGTACTGGAAAAACGCTAACTAGTTACATAGAATTTTTTGATGGGTACTTTACACTGAAGCAGAAAATTTAAAGAAAAACACTCTTGTATGCACTGTGTCAGAGATAAGGATGCCTATCTCCGAAACCATAGACGATACGACGATGGTCAAATTAGGGAAAAAAACAATTATTATCAATCCGTAACGAAAATAAGAAAATTCCAATTACTTCCGAAGATACGTCAGAAAAACAAAAATTTGACGATTTCGTTTATATATTTTTTTCTGATGTTATTTGAACAAGTTTCTCATTGCCACTATTTGAGTCCTACAAAATACTGTTGAGAGATTTTCAGAGAAATCATCATCACACAAAAGTTGGAAACTGTTGGTTTCAACAGGATGGTGCACCCGCGCACAATGCCCAAAAACATGATAATAACATCATCGTATCTTCTATGGTTTCTGAGACCCCCATGCTAAGACATCGTTATCTTGGACACAGTGTATAGCCACAACTTCTGTTCATTTTTGGAAATTTGTGACAACAATAAATTAAATATAACAAACGAGCTCCTGGGTAAGAGATGTCAAAAGGGCCCTCCATTTTTTTGTACTACATTGCCAATTAACAAACTTCAATCTACAAATATGATACAGAATCCACCTGCAAAATTTTATCGATAATCGATCCATTTGTTTTCGAGATATCGTGCTAACGGACAAACAGACGGAGAGACAACGAAAACCTTTCAGGAAGTAAAAATTTTTCCAAGGTCCATCCAGCTACGAGAATCTCGATATTGACGTAAATTTATAGATGAAACAAGTTTATTTGACAAAATGAGTCAATCAAGGTGAAAGAAAAATAGGCGCTCAGGGCGAAATAACACACCACGCACAAAAAGTCGATTGCAACAATTACCTTAACGTATTAATTCAAAATATGCGGTTGTAATTGCGATTTTCAACAAACAGAACGCACAAACAAACACAAAAACTGATGTTGCTTCTAGAACTCCACTTTTCTTTTTTAAAAGGGGCATCCCGGCTTCATTTTTCATTTCTGATCGACGAAGTACATTAGAAATAAAAAGAACCGTGTATCCTCAATTTTTATTTTCGAGTAAAATAAACCCAAAATAAATGATTGAAAAGCTGTGTTTTTAGTCCGAATTTGAAACGCTTCAGTCTAAATACGTCACAAACCTACAACCAATCACGTAGAAGTAAGCCGACAACCTTGCGCGAGGCCCAAACTCCCACGTGAAAGGGAATGACATGTGCCTGTGAAATTCTCCTGGAATATTGCCAAGTTGTGATGTCATCTGGTTCTAGCCGCTGATTGGTTGGGCTTATTTCGTCACAGAGCCCCCATCTCAGCAAGACTCTTTTGAGATCTCCGTTAGTTATGAACTGAATTGCATGAAATGAGCATAGCATTAGCCATATAATAAGCAATGCCAAGCTACAGCCATAGCCAGGAGCTAGTTTGCTATATTTATTTAGACTACTAGCACTGGTAGCCCGTTATGACCCCTGTCACTGGTAGTTGACCTGTGTGATTCAAACTTGCTTGGCATAGTGATAACTTATACACCAAGCTTCATCGAATTCGTATGTGCACTTTCTGTTATGAATTTCAGCTTCAAACATACAGATGCCTTCTACATATTATATTCAAAAATATTGATCATTATCTTACTGAAGATATAGATACAAGAACAAAGTATAAGATCAAGCACACTTACCTTAAGCATAGTTCGAACTTAATTACATGAAGGTCATTAAAATAAATACATCCAATTCAACCCTTATTGCCCGATTCCAAGTTGCTGTAGATTACGGTCTAATCTAAAACAATACAACAATTCTGGTATGCAAATTGGATGTGGATAAAATGATCGTGTAGCGCGGAATGCCAACTAGAAAAGACTCACTTCTCCGCCTGCGCAATTTGGGGTTAATAACTAATATCCACCTATTTAAATTAAATGAGCCCTTTCAGATAATTAAGATCGAACTTCACTTAAGGTAAACTTGAGTTCACTGATAGTGTGGGTATTTAGACCGAAAGAAAAAATACATTCACATTAATAGCTTTCATGATCTATCGAACAAAAATATTATCACGATTGCTGCACTTCCTGTTTTACCGGATGTGGATAGCAACCTTCTTATTATAAATAGAACACCCTGTATTTTATTACATTTTCGAAATGTCCATGGAAATCTACGTAATTTGATACCACATTGCCCTATACCCAGCATCAAAGGTTTTCAAGTTATCCAAGATTTTTCAGAATTTTTGACGTATTACTGCTTTTCATTTCAGCCCTGTACCTATGACTCCGTTAACTTGAATTTCAAAAGGTCTTCCAAAATCAGCAATACTGACTTGATGCTACATGAGAATGATTTAAATTTTGATCGCCCTTCTACAGGGTGTTTTAAAACTAATGGTCAATTAGATTTAGATTTGACTGTGATATCATTGTACATTACCTGGGAAAGCTACTGGTTTCAACTTGACGGAGCGCCGACTCATTCTACCCATGATGCTTATATGTCTTTGAAGAACATTTTTGAAGACAGGTGAATTGGGTCCATATATAACTCCACTAAACTGTCACACCAGTTGCTTCTCGAAGAGCTTTTAATAAAATGGATACAGTAGAAATTCGAGAGGTGACTACCAACGGCATTCATTGAAGGATCCTATTATGTATTGAAAAAAAAACTGTGGCCATGTAGAACCTGTTCTGTTTGTTATGTAACATTTATTTAACTTGTTATTCATTAAAGTAAATAGGATTCTTTTCATATTTAGTGATATAAACTACCATCAAAAACAAATAGTAACAATTATAACCATAAACAGATTTGTCTGGCAGGTATACTAACGCATTTATTTCAAAGCCTCCTAAGAAAATTAAGTGTAAAAGTAATCATTTTAGAAAATCTAAAATAAAACGGAAAGCATGAGACATAGATATAGGGAATGTAACAATCGATCGATGTAGAATTTTTTCGACATTTGAAAGTGCAAAAAAAGCATGTTCCATTTGAAAAAATCAACTTTTTAAGGTTTGAAGTTTTAATTGACCATTCATTTTAAAACACCCTGTAGAAAGCCGATCAAAATTTAAAATTGAAATCATTCTTGTATAGCATGTAGTGAGTATTGTTGATTTTGGAAGACTTTTTGCAATTCAAGTCAATGGAGTCATAGATACAGGACTCAAAAGAAAACTGTCAAACGTCAATCATTTGTGTGTCATGTACATTTCGAAAATGCAATAAAATACAGGGTGTTCTATTTAAAATAAGAAAGTTGCTATCCTCGTAACTTATGAAAGTATCTAAAAAATTCGTTAAGCAGAAAAGCCAGAAAAAATTGTGAACGCAAATTTTCAGAATGTAATAGAAAATGACTGAATTATAAAAAGATATTTTGCTTTGCTCTCCCTACCAGCCATTTTTTTTTACATACTTAAATGTCACACTGTGTATGATGAGTTGTTTTTACAAATGAAGAAAGAAGAAACAATATTATGGAAGTCCTATCGCTGACTTTGATGGAATAATTTTCCAAAAGCCAAGTATATTTTTGAATTCAGACAAATATGGGCAGTTCTATTTAAAAAATATGTATACCGAATTTTTTGTACCCCTAAGCTATGGTGGGCCACTGTGATTTGAGATGTTTGAATACCTGCGATAATAACAAAAATATCTATTGGGTAATTTATAATCAATATCCCTGTACATTTTCGAAAAGAACAAAAAACTGCCATCACTTTCAAAAAAGGAGATGAGACAGTTTGTGAGATAGTAAAACATTGTAATTTGTTGACTGTTTGCAGTCATAAAAAATTGTATTAAAGCAGTGACCTGAAACAAATTTAGCTATATTTAGTATGACCCATCTTCAGCATTTTGAACAGAGCAAAATTGTTATACATAAAAAAAATACCCACAGTTATTAATAAAAGGTAATTTACTAAATTCAAAGTTTTACACAGAATCTGAAAGTGTACAAAATCTCTGATATCAAATAACAAAAAAAATATATATTCTAGTAATACGATTTAAAAATATAAAAATCTAAAGCAAAAATGACCTATTGA